TGGGCCGCGGGGTGCATGGGGGGCACCGCCGGCCGCTGCCCCCAGTTAATGAGAAGCCAGCGGTGCCCGGGGCTGCTGCAAGGGCCCTGTCCCCATATTAACGTCTGCTTCAAGCGCCTGCCCTTTCCACGCGGGGTAGCAGGAAGAGCTCCCAGCCTGGGCTGCTCCTGGGGCCGGGAGCGCAGCCCTGGGGGCTGCTCCAGGCCCTCCCTGAGTCCCAGTCGCCTCAGCCTTCGTGTGCTGGCGGCGCAGGCCGGAGTCACCCCGGTCCCTTCTCCCCAAGGCCGGGCAGTGACGGGCGCTGCCCGCGCCAGCGCCTGCCCTTTCCACGCGGGGTAGCAGGAAGAGCTCCCAGCCTGGGCTGCTCCTGGGGCCGGGAGCGCAGCCCTGGGGGCTGCTCCAGGCCCTCCCTGAGTCCCAGTCGCCTCAGCCTTCGTGTGCTGGCGGCGCAGGCCGGAGTCACCCCGGTCCCTTCTCCCCAAGGCCGGGCAGTGACGGGCGCTGCCCGCGCCCAGGACACTGCAGGGCCCCCAGCGGCCTCACAGCCCCCCGGTTCAGCCGCACGGTGCAGTCGCCCTGGCTGCAGCACAGGAGCCTCCAGTTTAGCCGCTGCCACTCGTCCAAGCCGGTGCTACGTCCGTGAAGGACACGGCGGCGTTTCTGATCGCTGCTCCTCGTCCCCTCTGCTCCCTTGCGCTTGCAGGCAATTCCCGGTGTAGCCTGCCCCACATTTTTCCCCATCTTTGGCTGCTGACACAGCAGTCCCGGCATGTCCGGGCAGCTGCAGCGGGGCCTGCGTTGCAACACAGCAAGGGAGGGCAAAGCCTGAATTTATCGTCTGCAACGGCTATGGCGCGTGAAGGCGCGTGCCCGCACGCAGGGCACTTCCGTAAAGGCCCGGGAGATGCTGGAGAGGAGCTGAGTCCTGGTGCCATTAAGGCAGCCCAGGATTGAACCGCGGGTTGAACCCTTTGTGGGGAACGAGCAGGTCTCCCCCGCGCTGCAGCGCGTGGAGGCTCACGGGGACCTGGGGGGCAGAGGCCTCACGCTGGGGTCCAAAGTGCTGGGAATGGGGGAGCGCTCCCAAGCT